GTTCATTGATTTTATTCTAAGTACATTCATTTACTTTTCTGAGTCTTCCTCCATTTTTTTAAATTTCTTTATCATTACAATTGCAAACTCTGTGTCTGATAAGGAGAATGTAGCATCCATGTTTATGAATTGAGATTCTGGAGATTTGTTCTTTGTCCTATTGACTTTGTACTAGTCACTTGACTCATGTTGCCATTTGTTTTTCACTTCCCATTATTAGCTATGGAACCCAGCTGTTATAGGTGTGTCCTCGAGGCGTGGATCCTCTCCCTTCACTTTTGAGGTATCTCCCATATCTGGGGGAGCAGCTGGCAGGGTGTCATGAGAGGTGGCAAGGCCTCTGGCTACTCTGGCACCCTCCCAGATAGGGGTCTGTAGTCTCGCCAGCCTTTGTGGTTACTGACGGGGTCTCATGAGAGGGCATGATAACTCTGCTGGTTTGTGCAGGTGCTGGAGGGGTCTGTGGGAGGAAACTAGGCCTCTAGCCTCTCTGTTACCCTCACTGACATGGGTCCAGGATGTTACTGGTCTGGGCAGGCACTGGCTGAGTCTTGCAGGAGGTTGCAAGGTCTCAGCCAGTCCAGGCCCACTTCTTTATCCATTGACCCATCAATAGACATCTAGATTGCTGGTCAAATGGTAAAAACTTTCAATTGTAAGATAAATAAGTTCTGGGGATCTAATATACAGCAATGTGATTACAATTAAAATTATTGTTGTAGGGAAGAGGGCGGAGCAACATGGCGGCGAGGAGACGCTGCGAGTAAGATCTCCCATTAAAAAAAGTTAATAGGGAGGAAAAGCGGCAGGTCCCAGTGAGAACTGGGACACGGAAGATAAACGGACGACTCCAGCAAACTGCCCGAAGAAGAAAGTTGCCATAAAAGAGGACGAGAAGGGAGGGAAGCGCAGAACCCTGCTCCCCTCCCCCGCCCACAAAGTCGGCACTCTCCGACCGGCAGAGAGAGGAGGAAACAACAAACCAAAACGGCCAACAAGAAAAACGGAACGGACACAGCAAGCGGGACTGTGAGTGGAAAGGAACTATTGCAGCCACCACACCCCATGAACGGGAGCTGAGGCGAACCCTGCAGGATCCGCCGCGGAGGTGAGCTCCAGACGCCATTAAAGAGAGCCCCGCCCCCAGGAGGAGACCAGCACCAGCACACAGCCCCGGCCGCCCGGTAAACTTGCGCGGAAAGTGGCGCGGATCCAGACCGGATCGCAGCTGCCCAGGTCCCCTCGCCTGCGACCTAGGCTTGCGGGGAGACGGCGGAGGCCCTCCCTGAGTGAGCAGGAACCAGGCGCCCAGGCAGGGAGCGGGATTCAAAAGGCGCCATTCCCGCACCACTGATCTGGGCTACAGCCCGCGTCCTGGAACTGATGGGCTTTGGAGCTGAGACCCGGGGCACGAAATTAGGGGCGTGGGTTCCCCACGACGGTGGGGCACAAGGCAGACACAGCACCCCAAAGCCGTTGAGGTGTACCCTACCATCCCCGCTCTGCTCCCTGTCCCACGGGGTGGAAAATCAGCTCCCCAAGGGCTCTAGGAGAGATCTCTGGCGCCACCTAGCGACTTGACCCCAGCACAGGCTACTGAAGGAGCTAGTGGCCAGCTGGGGAGTTAGCCCACACCTGGCTCCTTCCGAACAAGTAGTCTGAGCCCACAGGGAGAGCAAGCACCCACAGCCGGGGCAGACCAGGCGCGCAGAAGAGTGTGCCTGAGACCAGACGCGCAGGGAGTGTGTCCCACATCACCATTTTAGAACAGGGACATTTCCTCAGTAAAGACTACCTGCAGAAGGCTTCCTCAGGAGCCAGAGGTGAGCGGGGGAAGTTCGCCCACGCCAGACCCCCTCTGGCCTGCAGTCCAAGCCCAGAGGGGAGCAGGAACCCACCGCGGGGCAGACCAGGCGCACAGGGAGTGTGTCCCCACATCGGCATTTTAGAACAGGGACCTTTCTCCATTAAAGGCTGCTTGAAACTGACAGATGACTCCTGGAAGAACCAGAGGGGAACAGAGAAGCCCACCCAAGATGCCGGCCCAGTCCCAACAACACAGTGTCCCAACGCATACGGCAAATTAGAAAACAGACAGTAGGGAGGAGAAGAACCACACGCAACCTAGCAACTCTCCAGAGAAAAAGCACACCACAAAAAGAATGCCAGCCCCCAGATTGCAAAGACAATAACTTGGAAGAATTTCTGAGCCTTCCAGAAAGAGAATTTAAAATTGCCGTGATTAAAAAACTGACAGAAGTCATAAAGGAAATCAATGATAAGGGAAAAATAATCAACGATCAGAAGAATGCAATTGAGTCCCTAGAGAGGGAAAAAAATGGTCAGAAGAAAGAAATTGAGTCCCTAAAGAGGGAAGTAAAAGAAATGCAGGAGATCAAAGAATTAATGGAAGAACTAAAGAATTCGGGGAAAAGCAATGAAAGCAGAATAGATGAAATGAAAACGAATAAGTAATCTTGAAGACACAGAAATAAAAAAGAACCAAAACAGAAAAGGAAAGAGAAGTACGAAGGAAAAGAACGAAGAAAGACTTCGGGACTATCTGACTCCATGAGGAAAGGAAATATAAGAGTTATAGAATACCAGAAGGAGAGGAGAGAGATGTAGGACAGAGAAAATATTCAAAGAGATAATTGAAGAGAACTTCCCAAATGTAGAAGGAGCTGAAAATTGATATACAAGAAGCAAGAAGAACACCAAACCTTCCACGACAAAAGGAAAAATACAGCAAGACACATAATAGTAAAGCTCCCAAGAATCCAGGACAAGGAAAAAATAATGAAGCTGGCAAGAGGGAAGAAACAGATAACATTCAAAGGAAAACCAATCAGGCTGACATCAGACTTCTCCGAAGAAACACTACGGGCAAGGAGAGAGTGGAGGGACATAGTCAACAGACTCCAAGAAAACAGATGCCAACCAAGAATACTCTATCCCGCAAAGCTCTCCTTCCTCTTTGAAGAAAGAATATGGGACCTT